AATGCCAATGAATGGTCAGTCCACTCCAACAGGTGGTTTTACCAGCAAGTGGAACAGCAGTGCCCAACAAGTGTCCCTCACTACATGAGAGATTGCTGTTCTGGTAAGGACCATGTGGGGGTGGGCCAGAACCAATTACCTACGCCCACCTCTGTTATAAAGAGTCCATTTTGCAGAAATTAGTAACTGTTGTTTTGATGGGCCAAAATAGGTCAAAGTCTTATATGATGTCCTTTTCACTTTGTAAAGTGATCAGTCGGTTGTAAATTTTTGTATGCTATAGAGGAAAACCAAAATATTCAACTCCGTATCATGTTCTTCAGATGTAATATCTATATCAATCCATCCTTATTAGTTATACAATGTACTTATACTTGATTGTAAAAGCCTTTGGTTATATAAGGGTGTGTAATTTTTAGAGAATATGTCATTGACAGTTATTTAACACCACAATTTTTTTCACACAGCAGTACTGATTTAGGGCATTATGCAAACTAGCTTTATTATTGATGGAACAGAAAACAGATTGCCGTGCTTAATAATGATGTGTAGGTGTCTACATCTGATAACGTTGTTTTCCTTTCAGTGTAGGTCACCTACATTAACGTAATCATTGTCCTTTCCAGTCCGATAGGTAGATATGATTATACCCATCTCAAAAATGATTTGAATCTTGCAAGTTGGCTATATTTGTCCAACGATTTACATATGCAGACTCAGCAGATTACACATACATGTACATATGTACATTGCACTTCAGACCTGTCATGTCATTCCAATGGAATTGCAGTAATAACTGTAAATTTTGACATTTTCTTTTTCGGTAACGTAAGTATCCAGCCCAAATTCATGACACCCTGAATGTATTACTGTACTGCACTGTAGCTGGTACTAGTGGCAGCACTGGAGGGAAAAAGCATCATGTTATATTATGCTTATAAGTTATAGCTCTGCAATGCTATATATAGACCACTTTTATACCCAACTTCAATATAGTGTCCAATTCAGCATGATAATGATTGAATTGAGCTGCAAGTCAAGTTGTACTTCATTCACCTTATTCATTTATACAGCTACTGTAATTTTTGTGACTTGAAGATATTTTAGCTTTACATGCGCACAGTTAATGTCTGTCAGACACGACCTATTCTTGGCCTATGGTGAGCCGTATTTAGGACGAGTAGCACGCAGGGCTTCGCGTGCCGGTTTGCGTAGGCGTAACCATGTTGGTACAGAAAAAGCTTGCCTGCTGTATTTGTAAGCAGGCTATTAAGTTCTCAGATAGTGCTCGCCGCGGTATACAATGTACGTGGGTGGGAAGAGCAGCTATATGTGTACAATGTCATTAGAATGCATACAAGTGCAAGTAACTCACTTTTCCCCTTAGACGGTACAATTACATGTAGGTACAGGTCTTAAAACTTGCAAACGCAAAGGTAATATCAACTTAGCTACTTGTAGGCATGCAAAGGACTATGGAAAAATTGTCAGTATGATATACTTTAATTACTCTCAGCTTAGGCTACGGCTCATCTTTAATATGATTACGAGTAAAATTTCAAAAGAAGTTCTTACGTTCAAAGTTTTTTACCCATGTTGCCCAATAAAAATTTGTCGATATAACGACAAAGTGAGCAACTGTCTTACTGCAATTAAAGCTATTCCAAGGCCATTTGAAGTTGTGGAGATTTCGATTTTTTTTTTGTTTGGATTTGGAAGAAGAAGACACCGACCTAAAAGAATTTGTGTTTACGTGACTGTGAAGGTGAACATACAGCTGTGACACAGTGAACCTTAGCACAACCTTAACAATGTGCTACATGTATGAGCGCATCATACAAATATGTGGGGATCAATGACCTCCAGGTGTAGAGATGCAGAGATAACTATAACATTAAGAGCATGTGTACATGTATTTGTGCACGTTTTATAGTAATACCTTGGAGGGCTCAAAATAGTTTCCTCTCCACTTGCTTTTGTACTTTTGACATGTTTACCTGCGCTAGACTTGGGAAAGTTAAAAGGTAGCATACACTGCTGGAAAAGCATCTAATGTGTATATAGAACTTAGAAGGATCACACTGATGAAACAGTTATTTCACGTATCACAGTAATGTTCTGTTATACCCCCAAAAAAGAAGAATATATTACTATTTATCACTTTGAATGACAGTAGAATGTACAGCTCATCACATCCACAGACTTGTTTGCCATGTATCTAAATATATAACATATAAAATATAGGTATGTTATTCAATCAAATGACACATTATACTACCTCCCAGTGTAGCCATAACAAAATAAAATCAATACAGACAATGTAATATTTAGGTAATTTCCTACCTTCTTCTCTCATTGTGATTGTTGTAATTAGCAATTTTGACTCTGTCTCTGAGTTTCTAGAAAAGCTAATAAACAGATTGATAGAGTGTCTGGAGCTTAGTGCCAGTCCTGTCAACATTAGTTTGTGTTTTGAGGTCTCAGGCAGTAATTTATGATATTGATTTTTATATGATGACTCGTCTTTGATGTGTTGTATTGTGGGCATTCTTCAGTTGTTTTGACTAAATCATGGACACAAAAAGTACCCTGTATACAAGGTACCGGGTATGTATACAGGTATATGTATACATATATATATATTATATAACTGTTATGTATGTATGTAATATATATATAAATAAATGGGCTATATTAATGTGAATATCATGCATAAAATTCCACAATGTTTGTTATTTCAGCTAACTTGACAGGCCATCCAGAGAAGGTTGGGAGAGAAAGCTTTGAGCTGCTCAAGGTTCTGGGAACTGGAGGTAAGATGAATCATTTATCATCACCATCAAGTCTAATTATTACATGCAAAATTCACAATGTCGTTAATTTGTGTGCGGAATAGTAAGCTATTAATAGTGAATGCTTGTAATAAGCTATGTGTATATACTGTATGATGAAGACCATCATGCTTAACTGTTTTGCATTTGTGGTCAGGTGTCTTTCTAATCTAGTAACAATATCTTGATTTGGGAACAGAATACCATGCAACTAATTACCTACAAATAATAATATTTAAAAAACAGTGACTAATCTAGTAGCAAGATCTATAAAACATTTTTTGTAAGTATACAAATAAATGAAATGTATGTGTAGAAAACAATTTTAATCGAAAGTTTAATGTCCGATGCACACAGTTACTTGTTACATTTTACTTACCTTGCGCCCTCCTCTTAATGAGATAAAGGGCTGGCCTAGGTGTACTTCAACGAGTCATCTTGTATATACATGTATATTGAAATAAAGATGATTTTAACCCCCATTTGGGAACAGAATACCATGCAACTAAGGCCCGATTTAGACTAGAAACGCTTAAGGGGTTTTGGCCAGGGAAACGTTTCGAAACGGTTAACCGTTCCCGGTCTAAAGAGGAAAAAACGGTTTGTTATGGGTTTTCGCGGACCGTTTCCGAAAACCACCTCCATCGTGGTTTTCGACCGTTTCAGAACCCTTCAGCGGGGGGCCCGAAACGCTTTTTGCTAGGTCTAAAGTCAAAGGGTTTCTTAAAACGGTAAACCAGGTCACGTGTCATATGCTAATCACATGCTAATAAGCCCGCGCACGTCCATTTTCTGGTAGATTCGCGCCATATTCGATTGTGTCCATTTTCGTCATTTTATATCATGTATTTCTCGAATTTTCGTCATCCTTTATGTCTGGGGGGATGGCAGAAGGCCAGGGGAGGGTCTAGACCCAAGAAGAGATCCGCTGCTTGATCAGCTTGTGGGCCGATCAAACTATACAATCCCGCTTGGAGACCTCGCGTAATAGGGAGGGCATACAGATGCTTGTGGACGGGCTGGCGGCTGAGGAGTATTTACGCACCCCAAAGCAGGTTCGGGCGAAGTTCAAGGCCCTGAAACACAAGTATCATAAGGCCAATGAGGCAAACCGTAGAAGCGGCTTGGGGAGGTCATCATAGGTCACTGTGGGTCAGAAACATCCTGCGCCACGGGTGGCCCGAAACGCTTCCGCCTCTGTGTCTAAAGACGAACCGTTTTCTGTGGCGAAACGTTTCGTACCGTTTCGAAACGGTATACCGTTTCTAGTCTAAATCGGGCCTAATTAACTACAAATGATAATATTTAAAAACTTTTTTGACTCTGAAGAAAGGCTAAAGAAGCAACTATTATTAAATAATATAATGTCATGGACAACATTTCTTTGAACACATTAGCTTAAGCTGACACATTATTAACCCAAGCTCGGCTCTTTCCAATTTACATGCAAATTTTGCAATATATCTCCTGTTCTCCATTGGAAGCACAGGGTTGATAGAACACTGTAAAAAATGCTAACCTGCTTTACTCTGAAAGGAGTGTTCTATCTTCCCGTGGATCTATTCATGACCAAGTGAAATGTATGAGCCAATCAGCCACAGTCAGGTTAAGAGGAATGCATGGCGACATCCGCTCTTACATCTTTCCTTATAACACGATCAGCTTCCACCCTGACACTTTCCCTAGATGATGTGATGAAAAGAACATAATATTCATAAGGAAGCCGTTATTCCAAATTTCGTGGTCATCAGATTTGGCATCTGAAATTTGTTACTATGCATGGTTCATTCGTAGAATTATGAAATGCTCTGGATTGAAGACTCTTTTATGTAGAATTCAGAAAAAGAAAAAAAAAACTGATGTTTTGTGTCTCAAGCTATCTGAGACTTGAAGTGATATCAGTGCTTTATAATGTAATATGTACATAAATGTATAGTTGCCTCAGGTGTTTCACTTCTTAAAAGCACTTGAAGATTTCTTTTAAGAGTGTAAGGACATACGTAAAGTACAGTGCACATTTACAGTGCACCTGATAATTTATATGCAGCCACCAAACATTTGAATATGGATCAGAAAACCATCAGAAAACACAATATAGCAACATAGAACCACATCTCCAGGCTATAATACTTGCAGAAAAAAAAGGGTTTTGAAAAGGTCATCTTCAAGTAATTGCTAAAAGTATTGTCCTCCAGCTCTGTCTGTTTTTGTGGAGAGACTACTCACTGGTCCTACTGTATAACACTCATACATGTATACATGATTGTATGCATTATCCCAGATAGGCTGTTGTAACAAAATCATATGGATTAGCATCAGTCCCAACATGTATATGCTCACGGTACTACATGATTTGCATCAGATCTTTTGCTGGAAGGAAAGATGGGGTGGGATTACTTCCCTTTGATTTGTTTCAGTATGGTAAAGATACCAGCCCTACATTGTAGCCCATCGTGGGTCCCGTGACAGGCCAAAAGGGGAATTCCGCAAAAAGATTGTTCAAACACTCCAGATAGAGGTAGAGGATGGATAGAATGGTCTGTTCCTAAGTACCCACTATGCCTAAGTGTAGGATTTGTTCAGTCAATGTTCGGAACATTGTGTCACACGTATATGTTATAAAATGATGTACTAGAGTTGGTAAGTTAGGGATTTATATATTGCATTTGTATTTCTATGGTGGAATGTAATTTCAGCAGGATTGTGTACATGTATGTGTGCCCCTTTTCTTTATCAATATTACTAGAATATCAAGATAATTATTGTATGAATGAAAAATCTGAAGCAATAGCCGTTTGATTTCTCGGTTATTGATTCACCTGCTTGTTGAAAAAAATGCTCACAAGTATATATCCACCACTCTGTTCACATGCCAGTCCCAAATGAAACTTGGTAACGATTTAGCATCAGCTCTCATAATTCTGCCAGGTATGCCAAGACTGCCACTGTGAATCTAAAGCGGCATCAGCAGTTCTTGAAATATGCGTGTAGGGAATGACATAAGGTGTTTAGATGTTGCATTAGGTAAGCCGTTCGGACGTTCGAACGGCGACGTTAGCGTCCGTTCGACGTCCGAACGGCTACGTTAGGATCCGTACGTATACGTTAAGATCGACGACGTTCGATCACGTTCTTAGAATAAACCAGAGTTTTTGAGTTGAAGTCTTTGTGTACGGACGTCTTTTTTGTGTGCTCTGTGTCCTCTTCTTTTCTTGTCTCCTACTTTACTCTACACCGTGTACTCGGAGGCGGAAATCCCACGACGATCAACAACGAACCCCCCTTACATGCGCACTTGAGATATCCAGATGTTCAAGACATTCTTGAAAAGGCTTTGATAACAATGTTTCTTTAATGTGGTGGCAGTATAATGAGAGTTGACGTTACGGGTATATCAAACAGCTCCATCCCGTGGGATTGAACTTGGAGAATGTCATCGCAGTCAAACAAAGTCATGTCATTGCCTATTCCAGCAGCAAAGGTTTGTACTAGAGACATCAAACATGGCTTTTCAGTAAAATATGGCTGACGCGGAGGTCTGTCAGGACAGGTGGTCATGCATGGGGGGGGGGGCTTTATTAGAAATTGATGTTTGACTTCACATCTTTATTGCTTTGAGACTTCTTTGAAGGCCACTGTGACATCAAATCCCCAACTTTCTTTAGATGTACATATTATATGGGAGAGTGTAAGGTTGAATACATGTAAGATTACAAAATCCCTCCATAACTACTTGTACCTGGCAATCAATGGAAACAAAGATTTTTACCCCCAAAACACTGATTTTGTGTATCTTTTTTGGATGCTGTTGCACAGTGCAAGAAAATACATTTCCTAACTGCTAATTCTAGGACATTGTGTTTTAACTCCTGCAATCTTTGATGCACAAACCTTCCCAAAGACTAGTACTGTTTCCATAATTTATATCAAAAAGTCAGGCTGAATTCCCATTCCAGTACCTAGCTACAAATCCAGTCCATTAAACCCTACCACATTCAGTGATGGAGTCCACCTTACCATGTTCCTACCTTTTCTGTACCTCTGTATGACATCAGATACCTGACTGCATCTGTCAGTGTCTGATTGAGCCACACCCACTACAAGGGTAGCATTAGCTGTGATTGGCAGCCACCAAGGTGTCTTTTGCAATCATTGCAGCTTTGGTAGTATTGTGATGTTGTGTATGATTTAAGAGACAAAATTTGAGTCTGATAAAACTTGGGATTGGAAGTTGTTATCTAGTGTAGATTCTGAAAATAAAACAACAGTCTGAGATTGCTTTTCTGTAACTGTAACTCACTTATTGTCGCTGTCTGTTTTTCTCAAGTTCACAGTTGAAAAAAATTCTTCAACACAGTGAAATAATGTATTGGAAACTCATATTTGTGGTGTCCTGATTTATCAGTGGAGAGGTTACTATACAAACTGCAAAAATAAAATGACCGCAAACAGATTTGACCATATTCTGCCTGTGGGTATACTTTGCCTAATGATTTTCTCCATACAGATGGAGTGTGTTAAGTGGTGGCTCGTCAATTATTCAGTGGGTATCAGATTTTACAGGGTACTCCCAGTATGTACATGTTAAGTACTTTGATCAATTAGAACTGTCACTAGATAGGATCTCCACAAAGTCCAAGGGAAAGGTAGAATGCTGTTTTGAGATTACAACTAGCTTTTTTTTTTTCAAAATCTCAAGATACTTATTACTAGGAAAACATTAAATGTTGAATATTTTATTTTCGGTGTTTTGTATCCATCGGGTAATACGTAAAACAAAATTATGGCCCTAGATAAATGCATACTAAACCTATTGTGCAACTGTCAGCTTCAAATTTGAAATGCTTCTGTATGATTCTAAAGAAAGAATTGGGGCTATTGTATGTAAATAGATATAACAGACTATTCATATTTTGTTTAGTTCCATCAAACACTTGAATAGAATAACCTTGGTTTAAGGACAGTCATTTTTACCTTTAGTACTGTATGGTTGGATGAACTACAATAACTTCTATTACTTATGCATGAGGCTGAATAGATCTTTATTCCAATTTACAGCTCCAACTTGAAGGTCCTTGTTCAATCTCTGCTTGGCAAAATTGCTTCAGGCCTCATTGAGTAATGCTATGTTACATGTCTGGTTTTGTCTCATAACCCTAGTGGTGCTGTACTTTACATTTCTCCTAATAACTTTATCAGCTACTGTGAATTCATTTGTTCTTGTGTTCTAAGGCTTAATTTTGCAATAGGAAAATGAAGTTTTCACAGTGTTTTAAAAACCATTTTAAAAGTTTACAGTTGAAACAATACAGTAACTGTATTACAGTTAATGTAATACACTACAAATGCACATTGTGATTGTCATAATTTTGCAGTCAAGTGATCACACAAAAAAAAACCAGAAAAATAAAACCACTGCTGACATTTCAACTCAAATACATGTACAGTATGTTCCAGAAAACTACATTGTATCGGGAGCATTCCTTTCCAGGTATGGTGTCTTACTAGCTCAAGGAAAGAAAGATTGCCTGTCACAGTTTCTAGGAGACTTTGAATCCAATAAGATTTAGTGAGTCCAGAAGACACATGGTGCACATAAAGTATGTAGTGTATCAGCCCATCTCTTTCAGCAGGCAAGCAATATTTCATTACATTTGCTGCACCACATTTCCATATCTATTCAACTGTAAACTTGCAAATGTACACCAAGTGTGCATTTGGGATCATGATATTATGAGCAGCCAAAAAAAAATTATAAACATAAATTCTATAGAATTCAAGATTTGAAGATTTCAGGTGCTTCCATGTATTCAATGGAAGGGAATGATGTATCCAACAGCAACTAAGCTGTATATTTATTGTTTGGTGGATTTAATAAATTAGGGACTGTAACATACATGATAACAGTGCCGGAAGGCATCAACCAAAATGGAATTTATTCTGTGGTTATAGGAAATGGCCGGTCCTTTTGAAGCCATGTACACCTCTGGGCGGGTCATTAATTGAATGTTTGTTGTCTGTACAGCCTATGGAAAAGTCTTCCTGGTCAGGAAGATCAGCGGCCACCATGCCGGCAAACTGTTTGCGATGAAGGTGTTGAAGAAGGCCACCATCGTGCAGAAGTCCAAGACGGCAGAACACACCCGTACGGAGAGACAGGTGTTGGAGGCTGTCAGACAGTGTCCCTTCCTGGTCAAACTACACTACGCCTTCCAGACTGACGCTAAGCTTCACCTGGTCATGGGTAGGTAGTATGTATAAACTGAGGATATGCAGTGTAGAGAATACACCACAGTGTTGCATGGTCAGACCTCCCAAAGTCACTGTTATATTGGAAACACTTCTCAGTAAATTTGTCAGAAAAGCAATTTATGTTTAGTAAATAACAATTGAAATTGAATGTATCAATTATAGTTCAGCTGCACTTTTATTGCATTTGTCAGGAAAGCATTTCATATTCTGTATCAGCAAATATAACATACATTGTTTTGTAGTATTATTCTTGAATGTTCTACTGTAACTACAATGTAGTTCCATTTTAGAAAGATGACAAGGACATACAAACTACATTGTATATTGTACAAAATGTCACAGTAACTCAAATGTCTTGGCCTGTCATCAGACAGCAAACACTGTAGTTTCTTATGTCAGGTTAGGATTTATGGTTTGTTCCAATGTTGTTTAACCTATTTTACCCCAGACTACATCAGTGGGGGAGAACTCTTCACACACCTGTATCAGCGGGAGTATTTCACAGAAGCTGAGGTCAGGGTGTATGCTGGAGAGGTGGTCCTGGCACTGGAGCATCTACATAAGGTACAAACCTTACATGTACACACATGGCTGACTTTTAGCTTTTGACAAAACTTAGTCATTTTTGAGCTGGTAGTATTATACCAGGTCGTAACAAATTTTCAAAATTAAGGTCTATCATTAACTTGCTCGATTTGATAGTTTTTTGTAATATGCATGTGAATGGCCAGAAACACTGGTCCATAGTACTGAACATTAGGCAAGTTCAGTTGACGTTTACTCTTTGAAAGGGACAGTTACTATGGTCACTGTGATAACCTACCATATATATATAAATATGGATGTATGATACTAGAAGATTGAATGCTAGCATGTCTTAAGTATTGTACAGCGAGCTCTGTTAGAACCCAGGTTTTGTTTCAGCTGGGCATCATCTATAGAGACATCAAACTGGAGAATATCCTGTTGGACAAGGAGGGCCATGTGGTACTGACTGACTTTGGACTCAGCAAGGAGTTCTTACCTGGCACAGTAAGTCCATCACTGTGATGAGAGCTCAGAAAGCACATTCAGAATTAAGATCACAATCATTGAGAATGGATGTTACCTGTGCATTCATCCCATTTAACTGCCAACTCACCCAAAGAAGAACAATACAACTTTCTTTACCAATCTTTACAATCATGTAAATGGGCCAACTGGAAACATGCAAGCTAGACTAAGATATAATCCATGTTGTACCTGTTTGTCTGTAGGAGGGTCGGGCTTACTCTTTCTGTGGGACCATAGAGTACATGGCACCTGAGGTTGTGAAGGGAGGCCACGAGGGACACAACAAGGTACACTTGTTATGTTTATATGAATTACATATATTAAGTTGACAATCGCTGACAATGAATGGAGACCTCCATTGGACACTGTTTTATACACCATACTCATCATAAGAAGCTGCTTACACCTATTGCCATGGAAAATACTACATGTAGCCATGCATGTAGGTCATACGTGTGATCTTTCTGTTTTAGCTTACAAGCTTATGATTTGCATTGGTGATGATGATTGTAGTTTGTACCTGTATATAGGCCATCAGTCCATTTATAGATCAATGTACAGGTCATTTAAAAGTCAGTTCTTGTACAGGAGATAATCAAAGGGTATGTCAGGGAAAATGAAATATCAAAATATGGATTGGGTTACAATGTACATTTATTTGCAATGTGTAACTTATTTTTAAGACCCCACTGTGTATTTTAAAATCTGTATGACTGAGTGTCATCTGTACATTATGATTTTTCATATGAATGATATGTATTATGCATGTATGTATACTAGTGTATAAAACGTATTACATGTATATGTATAGTTCTAACACATCCATAAATATTTAAGGACACATCACAAGAAACACAACCTAAAAATACATTAATATCTAAATACTAAAATTATAGTGTAGTTTCTGCTTGTGAACCAGTTTATTTGTAACTAATATGTTTTTACCATTTATTTTTACAAAGATATACAGTACTTTGATGTAGCGTTGTAGACAATTGGTACATGATTAAACTAGACTGTTAATTCTATGGAATGAAACACCCTCTAAAAATAGTCTGATCTAGACTTCATCCCATATGCATTTGTTAGTCATCACTATACACATTGTGTACCTCAAAACAGTCTTTTACAAACTGTGTATTTTGCACCTATGTTGCAGGCTGTTGACTGGTGGAGTTTGGGGGTTCTCATTTATGAACTCCTGACTGGAGCCTCACCTTTCACTGTGGAAGGAGAGAAAAATTCACAATCAGAAATTTCCAAGTGAGTACATTGTATGTTTTGATTTGTTATGATTGGAGTTGACGATATACTAATAGGGTTTGTTTCTCTCTTAATTGTTTTTTTTCAGTACACTAGAATACAATCTAATGAAAGTTTTGATACTAGATATATAATGTACGTTTAGAAAGGACAGCAAATCCTTTAAAGTCATATCTGTAGTATTTTTAATATTGACATGACATGCATTGTTCAAAAGTTGAATCTCAAGAATCAAATGAATACTAGATAGATTCTTGTATGGGTGTTCATATGGTATTTTATTGGCATTTGGTGCAACCATGAATGTCCTACTGCACACAGTATATTGAATTTTTATGTAGCTATCACTGTCATGTTTTATAGGCAGCCAATACCAGGTGCCTGGCTCAGCTTTGTGTTATGCACAGTCTGCATTTCAATCAATACTGTAACAATACATGTAGGTCAGAACCACTGTGGGTACAATGAGAACAACTTTATTTAGTGGCTTTTTTTGCAATCTATTCTCCAATGAATTTTGGACTATTTGAACATATCAAGGTACTTTTATTTTTTCTTGTTTTTCCTTTCTTACAAATTGCATTATGCACGATGTACAAGAGTGTACGTATTTTGTTGTATGTAATGAGGTCCTCTGAGAGCTTTAATGGCCAATTTATACATCTCCATGTACTACATGCTAGCAAGCAAATTATGTAATGTTCTCGTGTGACGTCAATGAGAATGTTTCAGTCTATCACAAACAAGTCTAACAATCTCTTCAGAGAATATTTGCTGCATCTTTTTCAAAATGCAATGATGCCAGAAAGGCCTTACAAGTGAAAAGATGTGTGTTTAATGAAGAAAGCCCTGTGTGTAGACATTCTCAGTAAAACTCTTAATGTTGTCATTTTGATCAACAATATTTGAATTTACTTCACAATTAAGATAAATGTGTAGATCAACAAACACACAAGAAAAATCCAACTTTTGCTTTTTATGGTCTATCATTTTGTGGTAGAAATTTCCACAACAATATACTGTAAGTCACTAATAGACAATGCAAATGGATAAATACGGATATTACTTATGATGTTCATTGCTTTTCGTCTTCATTTTGAGTGATTGATGTCACTCGAATCGTGTGTGACGTCCAGAAGTAGTCTCTGTTTTAATTTATCCAGTAGAAGAATTCGATTTATCTCTGAATACTAGTATCATGTACTAGCTGGATGTCTAACCTTCACCAACAGAATTATAATCTAACTGTGCGGTTGTGTGATTTTGCAGGAGAATACTGAAGACTAACCCCCCACTGTCCAGAAGTTTCTCCACGGAGGTGAAGGACCTCCTGATGAAGCTGCTGATGAAGGATCCACAGAGCAGATTAGGGTCAGGCTCACGGGGGGCCGAGGAGGTCAAGGAACACCCCTTCTTCAAGGTAAGGACAAACAATGCAGGAAATAAATTAAAACTGTTGTCGTGGCAATTAATTAATGTTATTGTATGTAGGGTTTATACAAAATAAGTTATGTACGGAATTGCAGTTTCTTTCAGTACAGCCATGAAAACCCAATACTTCATGACACAATGTTGTTTTTATGGTAAAATGTTGAACTTTATTTGCACACGACTAAGAGAGATAAAATTTTCAACAACAACTACTGTCGCCCAATCACTTCCGAATATAAACTCCAGAGAGTTACGGATATAGACATGTGACTTTATTCGCAACATTTTACTATGATTACTACCAACACAGATGAACTTTCATGATAAGTTGTTTTTATTATTGTTATTAGGGTGGCATTTGTAAAACCTGCCAGATCTACCAAGGATAATAGTAGACTAAGTATATCTCCGATAATAGGTGACTTTTTTGTGTGCTTATTTTCACCACTAACCACGTTGCAGGGTATAAGCTGGGAAGACTTGTCGGCCAAACGTGTGCCGGCACCCTTCACCCCCATCATCACTAACGAGATGGACACCAGTAACTTTTCAGAGGAGTTCACAGACATGACTCCCACAGACTCCCCCGCAGCTGTGCCAAAAACAGCAGACAGAATCTTCAAGGTATGCTGGAAAATCCTCCTTTTCCTTACTTTGATTCAGATTCAGATTTTTATTTCCAATAGTGTTTGGTTTTTTTTTGTACACTTTGTATATATTTATATTGTAATTATACGACTGATTGTAACTGAACTGAAGAATTTGCGAAGACCCCTGACCTACCTCCCCTTGACCTCTTGAAAAACGGCTCAGGCCGAAGAGTTGTACTGATACACAATTGTACTGTACATTTTCAAGGTGAAATAAAGGTTTAAAAAAAAAAAATGACAAGTACATGAATAAATCAATATGACCTGAAATGCATCATTGATCACAAAGCAACCGTAAGTGTTAAAAAAATTGTATGAACATCATAATAGATTATAAAATAGAATCCACACAGTCAGAATAATCACTTATAAATCAATAATTAATAATACACGTAATTAGTAATGATAACTATGGAACAATCTTTGTTTTCATGAGGGTGATTTTGGTCTGATACATTTTTAGTATGAAAAGATATTAGAACAATACATTTTTTTGCAAAATGATGAGCCTGAAATTATGCGAAGATGTGGAGGGAAGTGTCCTTCATTTCAATATTTGCTTGCAAATGTTGGCTTTCTAGTGGGTTTATATGCTGATTTGTAGCTTTAACTGTAAATTGTGAAATGAATATACATGAATGACAGCTGCAGTATGCTAGAAATAAATGAATATAAACTTAAGATAACTCAAAATGCAAACTTATGACATGACATATCATTCATACACCGTTCCCCCCACCAGGGCTATTCCTATGTTGCGCCGTCCATTCTCTTTGGACCCAACGCCATCACTGTTAACGACATCTTAAGGCCTCCGCCAAACCCAGACAAACCTGGCACGTCATCTGTCAGGATGGCGGCAACACATCTTAAGGTAAGATCATCCTTTTATCATGCATTCTAAAGATAGCAGGTTTTAGTTTGGAAGAAATGGTTGAATGTAGTGTCTACGCTCCAATTATATGCTTTTATGAAATTCATGAGCATGAATAAATGAAACATCTTGTCAGACAATTGTGTATTGTAAGAAACATGACATAAATTGTCTCCTATATTGTATTAATTATGACTTTCACATAAGTAATGCATGTAAGCTGCATCATAAAGATTCAGTGCGCAGGGTGCATATAGACAGATAAGAAATGTTCTGTCTGCTGGCAATTTAGGTACCAAAGCTCATTGGTATGGAGGAAGTCATCTTTCTGCCAAGTCAGTGACTTGGTATAAGCTTTCTGAGAATTCTGTCTGTCAGTGGAATACAGTGAATAATTCTGAGTCAGGGGTTACTCATACTGTTCTTGTGAATCATTTCCGATTGCTGTGAATCATGAACTCTCACCACAAACTCATCACACTGGGAACATGTGCTTTGTCTTACAACTGTATAGTTTCAACCACAAATGACTTCTACTGCAAAATTAAATAATTTACTGTAACAGTATTTTCTTACTAACTAAAAGATAACGCCATCAGCCTCAGACTGAGACACTGATCCATGAAGCATGTCATTGACACTTTCTCATTAGCTAGTGGTGCAAAGCGGCTTTGCCATGGTTCACATATTGCCTAACTAAAAAACATACATTTATGTATTTTAATTTCCTAGGATTCTCCATTCTTCTTGAACTATGAGATGGATCTCCAAGAAGGGCTACTGGGGGACGGATCCTTCTCCGTGTGCCGTCGCTGTCGGTCCAAGAAGACGGGGGAGGACTACGCAGTGAAAATCGTGAGCCGGCGTGCGGTGGGTGTGGCGCGAGAGATCCAGTGCCTGCAGCAGTGCCAGGGTCACCCCAACATTGTGAAACTTGTGGACGTTTTTCACGACCAGGTTCATTCCTACATCGTGTTGGAACTGTTGAAGGGCGGAGAACTGTTGGACAGAATACGGAAGAAACAGCAGTTCACGGAGGTAGAGGCCAGTCTCATCATGAAGAGGCTGGTGTCAGCCGTCAACTACATGCACCAGAGAGGAGTCGTGCACAGGGACTTAAAACCAGAGGTAAATATGGTTTTGTTGTGTTGTACTTGGCCTTTTCCTCATAACTATTTGTTCATCTGTAGTTGGGCTGCCTCTGATGCATGACAGTTGGATTCTGTCACTTCTAATTTGATTTTGTCCCTTACAGGTAATGGATATTTTACAGGAGCCAAAGACTCAAAGGAGCACTTCTATTATTATCATTTATTAGATTTGTGAAAAGAGATTTACTTAAAATTATACAGTATTTAATTTGCTGCACCAATTTTTACAGATACGAAACATTTCAATGAGTTCAAAAGTTACCATAGGAATGCTTAGGAAGGAATCAAAGTTGTGTTCAGATTGCTTTTCCGTTTTATCAATAACTTTGTATGGTGACTGCAAATTTTGTCCTTTTGTTCTCTTTAGAACCTTCTATTTGCCAGTGAATCGGACGATGCAGAGTTGAAGATCGTGGACTTTGGTTTTGCCAAGCTGAAGCCTGAGAACCAGCCGCTGACCACGCCCTGCTTCACCCTGCACTACGCTGCGCCCGAGGTACTGAAGGATGATGGGTATGACGAGTCATGTGACCTATGGAGTCTTGGGGTCATCTTGGTAGGTCACTCCTTTAAGTTGCTGTTTATTTTGCTTAGAGGTGCAAAATTCAGCTAATCCATGTATTTTGAATTTGTTTAGAAATGGAAAATGTAGCTATTAGAATTGATAATGATATTAAATGTTGCAGCTTTCTGGCAACATTAACACTCATTTTACTAAAGCCTAGTAAATGTATCTCAGTGTGAACCACATCAAAATTCAAAATAAACGGAAAGTGTTATTACTACCAACCATTGTTTACATACATAAAGGTGACTGTGTACTTGATGTACCATACCTACAGTAATAAGAGTAGTACATGTGCCATTACCAAATCCATCTTAGTAGCCAAAAACCAATTGCTAATACCTACAGGAGACAATCAGGATACTGAAAACAGGATTCATGGTAGTAACAGTAATTTCCCAGGTGTCCAATTTGCGTTGTTATTAGAGTACACGTGGTATGTTCCATCACCTTGCCTGTGAACGTTGTGAAATGTCTGTGATGTTGATTGCACAGTACACAATGCTGTCTGGGAAGGTACCATTCCAGCCGTCTGCAGGGAGGGGCGGGGAGAACCACGCCGCAGACATCATGAAGAGAATCAAGAGTGGAGACTTCTCCCTGAGTGGGGAGGAGTGGGACCAGGTCTCCCAGCCAGCCAAGTGTCTTATCCAAGGTACTGTGTTCTTTGTGATTCAACACACTTATCCAAAGGAGTAGTGGTGACCTGGTCCAGCGGTTTTAGAAGTTTGTCATTGAAAGATGATTATTGAGTTCTTGACTCTTAAGAAAAGCTATCACTGCAACTGACAGTTTAAGCATTTTAAAAAGGTATGATTCTGTTCATGATCTGCTGTTACTTTTGGAAAATATGTCTAGGTAGTCAGTACTTTCCTCTCTCTTCTACAGAAATGGTGCATGTGTGGTAACCTACATGTACCAGAGGTCTGTCTGTCTTAGTTCTGTTCCATACCAGCTGACATGTGTTGACTTTTCCAGGCCTTCTCACAGTGGACCCCTCCAGGAGATTCACCATGACGGCGCTGCGGAACCATGACTGGCTGCAGGGCAACAAGAGCCACTCGTCCACCCCGCTCATGACACCGGACGTGCTGGAGTACAGCAGCGGGAAGATGTCCAAGGCCGTCAAACACACCTGGGACGCCTTCTTCATGGTCGCACGGGAGGGCTTCCAGCTGCAGGACGTGGACAACGCGCCGCTCGCCAAGCGGAGGAAGATGAAGAAGACAAGCTCCACGGAGACGCGCAGCAGCTCCAGCGAGAGCAGCCACTCCCCGCAGGGCCCCACGCCGCCCACCGTGTTCATCAACCCGCTCATCCCCACAACAAGCAGCAGTGTGCCCAGTCAACAAGTAACAATGCTTCCTGCAATACGGCCGGCAGCAAATACAAACTCTCACAGTAAACCCGAACCCGCACCACTTCTGAACAGTCTCATGTCGTCCACTGTACCTGCGTTACATCCCAGCATGCTGGTTTCCTCCGTCTTACCCCCAGGTCAGCATGCTGCACACGTGGAACCAGTACAACCCACGTCGACGGGATTCACCGTGGTCGGCAGCGATCCCTTTCAGACTAAGAAGCAACAGGTTGCCCCCCTCCCACACATAAATCAAGGTCACTTCCAGAGTAGCGCTCAAGAAACCTCCCCACACAGGAGTCAAGTCTCACAGGCCACCCTCAACAAGGGGTTGAATCCACCAGAGGCAAAGAGGACTACGTGACAAAAACATTGTTGACAAACTTGTGAACTCAGTTTTGCCTTCCCACGCTGCAAGGCACACAGGAAGCAAAATGTGAATTGATTTCTCAAGGACGGGAGGTCCATTTTCCAACAATTTCTAATAATTGTTTATTAAATCTCAGAAATGATTTTAGGATACAGAACTTGATATATACAGTTACTAAACCTAAAAAATTAAATGGTTTTTGTCTAGTTTATGTCTAGTTTATGCAAGTACTTGAATGTTGCTTTATTTCTTTGCTGCATTTTTAGACAAGGATAGCTTCTCACATGTACAGTAGTATCCCAGTTGGTTGGAGAATTCTTTTGATAATCATTTTCATAGCATCCAAAACACAGTTTTAGACTTTGTGACACATGGCTTGAAGTTAATTTTTTGGGAATAGGTACACTTGCACACTTAGCCTATAGTATTTAGTTGCACAGAGAAGATTTTGAGTGTGCATCATGTAATACAACAAAGGATTTTAGATTTTGTATTTTTTCTGACACTTGAATGTCAAAAACATGCTGTGTACTAAATGTGTACAGTACTTAAGTTTACACCTTTACATAATGTGACCTACACGTATATCAAGGTGCACCAGTGCATCCACAATCAAAAATTACATGTAGGTGCACAGTTCCAATTTCGGTTGCACAAAAGTGCATTATGCACCCAGTATGCCAAGCCCTGATAGTGATTAGGAAAGATGGATATTGAATGAGATACATTTAAGTAGAAACCTTTGTACACACAACAAAAATAGGTCATTTAGAAAGGTTTTGCAGCAAGTTTCTTTCTGATACACTATGCAGATTGAACTTTTTATTTCTCGTGATTTTGTACCCACACTTTTATTTACAACAATTAATGTTAGCTCCATTTTTTTGCTTAACCAAACTTTTACCTTGTACTTAATTTTTCATTGATAATTAAAAACATTGTACTTTTTATTCATGTTAGATATACCACATGATTGGTTCCATTGTAAAAGTGATTGGTTCAAAGCAATAACTGTCAGGACAATTTAAACCTGAGTATGGACGATTGATGATATCCTTAGAGATATTGTGATTTTTGAAACAATAATATTACGTTTTATTGATATGGAAAGAGATATCAGAAATTTCATTAAGATGATGTTAATATATAGATTTATTATCATGCATCATGCTTTTTAGACATAGTGTATATACATATTATATATATATATATATATATCGAAATGATTTGTTTGTAGATGTACATGTAATAACCATGGCATTTTTATACAGGGTGTTACTTCACAGGTTTAAAGTAATTCACCACAATAGTATTAAACAAGTCAAACTCATGGCCTTAATATATGAAACTGTAGTGGTGGATTGTGGCCATAGCTTTGTTGTACTAGGTCCTAGTAATACTAGTGTTTACAAAAATAAAGTGGTATGTAATGCTTCATTGGTGCTGCATTGATGCTGTACTGGTTTGACATTAATGCTAGCTCAGTCCAGCTCCTTTGGCAATTCAGCATTACTGATAATACTGCCCCAATCCATTAATCAATTGTTTTTCAAGATTGCAGCAAAGTATATTTCATTTGGATCAAGGTTTAGCTCACTTGATAGTTTAGGGAATGGTAACATGGACAATTACAGTGAAGTTAAGATGGCAGTTGGCACCAATGCTTGACTAAAGCAGGCAATCAAAACTTTATGAAATAATAGGGCAGTGTTACACAAGTTTGCTACCAATACTATTATACCACAACTGTCAACAAACCATCATAAAGTTACTACATACTTTTTAGTTTAAGTGGCGTAGTTACACACAAAAAAATTGAATACTCAAGCTGCTAGGCTACTTCATTTTTAGACTAATAAAGCTCTAAAAGGAAGTGTGTTTTGAGGTATGTATATTCTTCCTTTTACTATGAGTAGTAATTTCATATTTGTATCTGAAGCTGTCATTTTTTTTCTTGAAGTTGTAACAAAACTGTAATGATGGGCTGTAGAAGTACCAAAGAGTGAGATGCATATATACAATGTGCGCTAGGCCAACCCTTTGAGACCAAAATTCCTGGGCCGAAAAACGTTTCCCGTCTAATGTACATGTAACCTTTTGGCCACAAATTTTGTATTCCTTACATCGTATATTTGAAAAGAATGAAATTAAATTTATTTTTAAAAAATCAAAGCTATGATTTAGTTACTCCATTAAAAAGAGTGACAAATTTAAAGATTTATTCCTAGAAGTCACATTAGTCTCCCATATTCGTCCATTTTATCAGATTATTCAAACTCCCATGCCTTTCAAAGAAATTGTTTCAGAATTGCTCTTCCCTATCAGCTTTTGTAATGGAATGGCCCAGAGATCACTGAAGCAATAGTATTTGTTGCACATCAGAGGTTTGTCATTATCCTATATATAGGGCTTGATTGTAATTATGTAAATACCTCTATTATGTATTGTGAATAATTGAAACAAAACATAGATCTGGTTCTGAAGTTGATTCAGGAGCCATGTGGATGGTATGTACGTGGACATGTCAAGAAGGAACACTTTGATGCCATGTTCTTGTTTATTCTTCCTGCATCTAAGGAATGTATATTTGTACCTTGCATCTCTACATATTATACTTCTTTCACATGATATGAAGTTGTATGGTTTGTGCTTATTGAGTATGGAAAAGCAATATATTAAGGTGTATGTAACATTTGTGGAAATGAGAACCTGAGAATCTAATCTGACATTGAAGCTGCACTTCACATTTATTCTGCTAGATGGAGTAACTGACTGCCTCCTCTCTTGGCCGCCCATTGATAGCCTGTGGTTCTGCAATTCGTGATTAGACCGAGCATAGTGACTGACTCAATATACCGATTCGAAAACACTGAAAATTGCTGGAAAAGTGACTTCCAAAAATTGCTGGAAAAAGGATGGTGTTCAGCACCAGAGACAGATAGATGTGTGTTGTGGATGGCATTCAGTACCAAGGGTAGGTGTGTTTGTAGATGGTGTTCAGCACCAAGGACAGGTATTTGTGGATGGTGTTCATTACCAGGAACAGGTGTGTGGACGGTGTTCAGTACCAGGAACAAGTGTGTGGATGGTGTTCAGTACCAAGGACAGGTGTGTGTGTCTGTGGATGGTGTTCAGTACCAAGGACAGGTGTGTGCCTGGGTGGTTTTCAGGAACAGTGTGTGGATGGTGTTCAGTACCAAGGACAGGTGTGTGTGTCTGTGGATGGTGTTCAGTACCAAGGACAGGTGTGTGCCTGGGTGGTTTTTCAGGAACTGTGTGGACGGTGTTCAGTACCAGGAACAAGTGTGTGGATGGTGTTCAGTACCAAGGACAGGTGTGTGTGTCTGTGGATGGTGTTCAGTACCAAGGACAGGTGTGTGTGTGTGTGGATGGTGTTCAGTACCAAGGACAGGTGTGTGTATGTCTGGGTGGTTTTCAGTACCAGGGACAGGTGTGTGTTTGTGCATGGTGTTCAGTACCAAGGACAGGTATGTGTGTTTATGGATTGTGTTCAATACAAAGGACAGCTTTGTGTTCAGGGATGTGTGTGAATGGTTGTCCAGAGATGAGGCGTTAATTCGACCTACACCAAATCAAACACATAGGGAAAAAAAAGATCACAAACTACTTCTGAAAAATTTAATTCCCAAAACTGTAGAAACAAAATTGACTTTAGCCAGTTAGTTAGTAATTACAAGACATGGAGACCAACAAATGATACATGTACTATGATGTCACTTAAAAACCTGATTACCTACTTGACAACTTTGGAAGTTACGAACTTCCAACCTTTCAAAAAGTCATGATTGTTCCCTTAATGCCAATCCTGGATAACGCAAAGCTAAATGCGCATCTTACCATCTGCATTCCTATATATGACATAAAATCTGGATTTTTCACTCTTAATCACACCCCTAAAACTACCTACCATATGGCTTATTAATGAATTATTAGCACACTCTAAATGTTTTGCCTAACTACACTTACAATTGCGCTAAAGGCTATCAGATGAGGTGAATCACTACATCTTTATCTAAAATGAATCACATTCTGAGACATTTTTAGCTAATATATAAAATTTACCTAATGGTCCATGATACTGGGAGCAAAACTTCTGCCTGACTGTTTTTACACAGTCTATTGTGTATTCCCTGAAAATGTGTGAACCAAAGTACAGAATTTCCCTTCCGCTCTTCCATGATGATATTCCAAATCAGCATTATTCTTTTAATCTGATAACTGAAAAATCAAACTGGTGTGGCTTTACATTCAGGTAATAATTATACTAGTGGCTCAAACTGTATTAGTGTTGGTTCATGTCCTGTTGCCTTGACAAACTTGAGAAAGTCTTGTACAGACATCCCCATAGAAGCAGCATTGGTCATCGGGTGGCAGAAGATCTTTTCATGACCGCCCTCCGCGATGTCGGCGTCCAGTAGGAACTTGATCTCTCCCTTTTTGTCGTTGAAGAGCGCGAGGGGCGTCACGCAGCCTTGGCCGACGCCCAGTTTCTCCAACATGATGGACTCGTCTGCAAAGCGAACGCCACCGGATCCAGCACCGACTTGTTTGGCCAACCATCCTAGGTTTACCTGCAGATGGAACAGGAATGTGTAGGTTAGACAATGTAAAAATCTTATCCTGAATCGTTACATCTTATCCTCATCTTTCAAATACACTGTTTTACTTATACACACTTTTAACTCCAAAGACATTGAAGAAAAGCTGAACTATTACAAAAGATACAACTACTTCAGTATGAATCTATTCAATTGTCTTCCTAAATATAGAATGAGCTAATTGTGCAAACATGTCTGTACAGCAAAATATTGTAACAATTATCATTAAAATGTCCCAGAATACTGATATTTACCCATACAATGACTGAGCCTACACTGAGTAAATGATGTTATCTACATTGTAATACCTAAAATACTGACCTGTCTATTGTGAAGTATAGTCAAAACCCAAAGGTTCTTTTTCTTCTTGTCCCTGAGGAACAGGTTCTTGGAGTGTGCACCTGGTGCATGTGACACATACTTCATCATCTCCTCCACTGTGAACACCTGCATGGAAAAATGTGCAAACGAGTGTGCACCTGGTAACGTTACATGTGATTCACATTTTATTATCTATTCTACTCACTGTGAAAAATATCACCTACGTATAAGTACTGGAAACACCTGGAAATTGTAAACAACACAAAGATTATGTTTCTGAAATGTGTGCATGTAAAAACATAGCATAAAGAGCTTACGAACTCTTTTCAGTTAGACATGTTGCATAGTTAGAAAAGCCTCAGGCATGCTAACTGACCTATATTTTTCCCATCTGAGTAAACAATAAATTAGCTCCAGATGACATGACACACCCCTCCCGCCCAGCTGTCGTGTCCATTTATCAATCTTTCCCGCCGAAATTTCGGCATTCCAGCTACAAAAATCACTCCCTTCTCCTCTCTCTTCCATAAAAATCGTCCTGACCTCTGGATGCTCGATAGTTTCCGTCTGAATGCCGAGTTTTTCCAGCTCGGCTTGCAGCTCGGCTCTCCCTCCCAACTCTCCGCCTGCCATCTTGGGTACCTCTGACCTTTCAACCTCTTAGGCTGTCTAATCTGAACAAAATAACGCCTAAAATATTGTTCACCAACAATTTCTCTTACAAATTACAAAAATACAAACTCTTGAATATGAAAACATTGTGTATGAATTGCTTGATTTATTTCGTTTGGATATATTTGTGATTTTTATGTGATGGCGTTTCACGGTGTGCGGTTTTTGAAAAGGCAATGATTTAAGTAGAATAGACGCCTAATAATAAGTTTGACCTCCCATCTGCTGAGGACATGTGGGCAACAGAAACTCCTGATGGAAACTTCAGAGGTTTCAATGTTTTCACGAACATTAAAGGTAAGAAACGATCTTGTTCGTCAATATTTGGGCTGTCAAGTGTCATTTGATTGCTAAGAAAGGAAAGACTCGTTTACCTGGTGTATGTTGTTGTATTATCGTTGATTTGTTTTGAAGGTATGCTTTAGATTACTACTAAATTACACAGTCAAGTTCATACAATGTACATATGTCGTCTTATCGAATATTACTTTCATGGTGTCAGTTGCTTTTAAGCGTATCTATAACAAAGTCAAACTGCAGTATTTTTCTGATAAACAATAATAAACTATAAACATCAAAAATGTTTTCATGAATAGTAGCATGCTAGACTTCTATTGACAGCTGTTTAAAACTTTACTACAGTATCATGAGTATGTCATTTATTTTCTGCCACAGTGAAAAATTGACGAAATCACAGAAAAAAAGCACCAGAAAGACCAACAAGATGTCGGCATTCCGTTCAACCCTAGCGCTGAGGACAGCTGGCCTATGTCTCAGACAACAACCTGCCACAAGAACTTTATCTACATGTTTCCTAGGATTTCCACATGTGAAGAAATTAGAAGATTCCATGGAAAAATCTGGTGCCATCTTAAGGAGAACACCTTGTAGTTGTAGCTCATCGCTTAGACTACTTGGCTATGGATACTCACTTGGGTCTTACAGAAGTCATTTTCCAAGAATACACTGTGCAAGGGGATATGCTAAAAAGGTGGGAAACATGTGTACTGTTTTTTGTTGTGGATATTTGTTGTTGTTTTACTATAGGTATGCCCCAGAGAGGGTTTTGATCCAGTATCTATAAGACTAAGACTAAGACTATGCATATAATTGATATCAAGCAAGTTACACAATATACAATTAAGCAATTTTTCAATATTTTCATTTCACCTAATTATACAATGTATTACCCATCATCCCCCAGGCTAGGGCTGAACGTGTTCCGGTTCGCTCAGCTGATAAGAAGGTTCGTAAGCAGCAGGTGCCGACCAGAAGTCACATGACTGTCAGGGAGCTGGCACGGGCCATGGGGAAAACTGAAGGTCAGGTCTCACATTAGAATGTAAAAAACTGGTTTGTTTAAATCTGTTTAAATCATTCTTTATTTATGCAAGCTGCTTTTCATTGAGGTCATGAGGGAAGACATAAGGGTCAGACAAAATATATCAACAAGATAAAGTCTTCTCTTTTTAACAAAAGAGCCAGTAAATGTCATTGACAAGATTGTGACTAAATCGACATGCAGCACTACATTGTAACTGTGGCAAGGATGATGATGATGATGTATAACTTTCTTATATCTTACAACACCATATCTCTTTTCAATGTACATTTTGTATCTTGGTTCATTAGGAATTAACATATCTTTTGTCCCACCTTTATATCAGATCACATCTATGAGTGTCTGTTGGACAGAGATGACATAAATGACCTGCAGTCTAGAACAGGTGAGCATAGTATTATTACATTCTACTTATAACCCACCTGACGTCTGCCACAAACATTACAAATTTGCCTGTATTACCAATGCTTCCTTAGCATAGAGGAAGTTAAATACTGTTTTACGTATTTTAGGTTGTACTCAGCAATGATTTAGTGATATGATACTCCTTTGTCATTTTGCAGTTTTCGTAACATGTGCATGTGGAGTGAGAAAATAAGTTTGTACACTTTGATATTTTTGCTGTTTTTTTTACCACAAAATTTAAAGATACTGCAAACTCTTGGTTTTCCCTGTGAATGTGCCACAAATATAAGTAATTTAATCTACAGTCTTCAAACATAAAATTTTTTCCGTTACGTATAGTTCTTGATGCAGCAACCATCAGGCAGGTTGTGAAGATGTCAGGGATGGTG